AGAGCCAACAGAGACGATCTAGTCCAACCCCTCAGTTTGCAATTAGTCTGGGAAGACTAAGGCCCACAGAGGGACAGTGACTTGGCCAAGGTCTCACTGTGGCCAGGTAATAAGCTACCTGCCTTCTGGTTCCAAAGCTCAGCCTCTTCACACGTGCCTCTGAGTGAGTCCACCTGCACTGGCTCTGGGATGAAGCAGCCCCCACCCACCCATGCCTTTCTGCTGCCTCAGCAGCTCCCTCTCCAGCAAGGCGGGAGGGCTGGTTCTGGCTGGGGCTTAGGCACTGAGTGAACACACACCCCGGTTCCAAGCCACTTTGCCTCCCTTGGCCACAACTCTTCTGGCAAAAACCTCAGAACCCCTCCTGGAGCCAGGCCAATGAGGTCACTCACCTTCATCTGCTTGATGGTGTAGACCAGTGTGCCGAAGGGCCCCTCCTTCACCAGTTTCTTCCCCACCACCTTGGCCCGGATCACTGCAAAGAGAGCAAGACAGAGACAGGGAGGAGGTTACAGAAGCCTGTAGCACATCAGCAGCAGCATCTCAGGGTGGGCTTGCTAACCCCCACGGCGTCTGGAATTGCTCTCCTACCTTTGAGCCAGCTCGAATAGATGATTGTGCTTAGAAGAGTGAGAATTCTGAGAGAAGCCGGGGTGAGACGGAGGGGTGGAGGAGAAAGAGAAGCAGCCATCGTTCGAGTTGATTACCCCGAATGTTCACAATTGCTGGCCCCAGAAATTCCATCATCCCCCACCTTGGGAGCATTTCATGACTGTGGTTTCACCATAATCCAAAGTCTGCTTCTGGCAGAGCCTCTGTCCTCCCTCCATTGCCCATCTGACAGTGCCATGGTCTCCCAGACCTGTTCTCTTTCTACCGGGACCCCTTCCCAACCTTCACATCACTTGGGGCTCTTCCTCTGCATGTGTAAATCCGCCGTGTCCTGACGTGTCCACGGGTTGCAATGCACCTCTGCATCCCTCAGTGCCCCCAGTCGGCATTCTGATGGGCCCTCGGTGCACAGCTCTCGGAGAGCAAGGGATGCAGCAGAGACCAGCTCAGTGCAGATGTGGTGGAAGAGGGAGCAATTGGGAGGGGAGCTCAGGAGCCAAACCGAACAGTTTCAGTCTCAGCTCTGCAGTTTAGGTCTGTTGTGACTGTAGGCAAGTCAGTAACTTTGTTTCTTGCTTCCATTTCCTCTTCTATAAAGCAGGAGTCATAACAGTACCAATCTCCTTAATTGAAGGGATTAGGCAAGATGTTGCATGGGAAGCTCTTGACACTATCTTGGATGTAGTTTACATTAGATAAGTGCTATTAATAGCATCATCATCATCATCACCACCAAAAATGGAATAGGCTGACCATGCAAGGATTAATACAATAAAGACAGCTCCCATTTACTGCACGCCTGCTATGAGTGACAGTACATTTCTCTTAC